AGTGACCTCATTACCCCAATTAAATCTGTAGTCTTCTCTGAAAACAGTCCATCTCACAAAGTGATGTCTGATTATCACTCCCAGTGCAAATGAGGTTGAGATATTCAGCAGTGGAAGCAGGGCAGCGACATATGGCTCTGCCTTGTACAGTTTGCTGCACTGGCTTTTTCCTCATCATTTCGTTTAACCAAAAAGAAAATTATTACATTTGAAATAATCATAAAAAGTTAAATAGAAGAGAAATGTTTTAATTACACTAATAATTACACTAGAATTCTTCATCAATACCAATGACTCAAGGATTACTCACATAAAATATTTGCAAATATTGGTTCATTTGCAATAACCAGGAAGACCATGTCACACTTTTTGCCACATCATTGTCCTGTAAAAGCAGGAACGGTTTTGGGTTTGTTTGTGTTTCTTAAAGAAGATCTGCCAAGCTGGGCCCAGATTATAAGTCTACCAGTGCTCTTTTGAAAGTTTAATTATAAGAAACTTTCTTTTAGATTACAAATTTTCTAAACAAATTTTCTAAAGTCTGAAACAATCCACAGGAAGAACCATTATTATGCAAAATGTCTCTCATGCACTCTCTGTATGTGACCCAGTGCAGTGTATTTACTTTACCTCCTTTTATTTAAGTGTCCGGATTCTCAATTTAAAATAAATTCATAATATATTTCAAATTCAAATTTTCTATAGGTGCTGCAGTATCGTTACCATGAATTCTCTTGGCTATGATAATCATGTACAGTACATTGTGCTAAAAATTATACAACACTGAGGTTTGACTGATCCTGCAACATTGTACTGATGCGAAATAATGATTCATGAGTGACTGAAATTTACTGCTCACTTGAGAGTACTCTATGTGTTTATGTGTGTTATAAGAAATGAGGGAATGAGGGAATGATTTTGGACATGTGATGTGTTAAGGTCATATTGTTCAGAATGTCATTGTGAGTAGCCAGGTCAGAAAATCCGCTCCTGTCAGTCAGTTGTAATTCTAACTCTGAGATATCAGGAATTTATGACAGCAATGACATCTGTCACTCAGTGACAAGAAATCCAGAAGAATGAGGAAAGAATAGCAGAAGGAAGGGAAACAGTGGGAATGTAATCCCTGTGAGCCAGATGACCTTTTCACTTGATGTTTTGAAGCATCTCTAATGAGGTATCCGACTCCACTATGACAATGTGATGATAAGATGACTCACGTTTGTCAGTGACAGGCCGCCTTAACTGTAGAGCATAGATGAGCTTTTAATCTTGGTCACAGGTGTATATTAAATTGGTGTTTAAAAATAGCTTTGACTATGTTGCAGCCAATTGGAACTGAGGATTGTCATATTTATTTTATGAATGAATCATCTTATATAGGTGTGTTTTGGTCCTATAAACTGTTAATTATCAATATTTTAGCACTGTTTATTCTCTGCTCCTCCTGTTAGCAAGTATAGAGCTTAGTCTGTGATTTCTTGAGCAGGGTTGCATCAGTAATACCTTTGTAAGGTATAGTCACATGTGATCAAACATTATTTCAGTCCTGCAGATGTTTTTAAAAGCCAATCCTTTGGTTTAGTATTCATTTGAGTCATTAAATAAGATGCTTTAAAAACATTTCTCCTCATCTCATCATCTTTCCACCACTTCAGGGAGAACAACTTCACACGCTACACATTTACATAAATACCAGCTTCACTTTGTCCTTTCAACTTATTCTACTTCAAGATCTGACTGAGATTCTGTACTTTTTTGTTTTTGCAGATACTGTTGTGCAGTTTTTTTCCAAAGGTTTTACTTAATAAAAGTTAAGGAGATATTGTTTTTACCATAAATTCATGAAGATTCATTCCAAAAGAGCTACATCTCCACACTAACAAGACAAACTTAATCTCAAATTAATGGTTCAAATGAAAATTTCAATGTTTCACAATAGTTTATGATCCTATTTTTAATACAAGTTTCATAAACTGAGTTTCACTTTTATGTAGTTAATTGTTTTTTGTAAGCACTAATGACATGTTTTCAACCCAGTACATCAGAGGATGTGTCATTTTTAATTGGAACAGTAGAGAGCGTCATACTGTTGATGTCAAGTGGAAATGTATTCCTAAATTGTCAGGTTTGAGAACATTAGAAAACAGCCTTGTTTTGAGCTTGGTGATAATGTTTTTAAGTTTAAAGACTGGATTTGATTTACAAAAGCCTATATTGGAGCATAACTAAATAATCCTACCTGAAACCTACCAGGAGTTTCTGAATTTTTACATGAGATCTAAAAACTATGTCCATGAATTTTGAATGTTACATCACATGAATGGATTTATTCTAACACCACACCACTGCTCTTTTAGGCTGTCACCCAATCCCTCAAACCAGCAGAAAAATTGTAACAAACAATCAGCCCTGCTTAGACAGTTGTCCTCAAAGTTGCACACTAACTAGTTTGAGTTGAGGCCATTTGCAGACGACATCCCCAGATAGAGGGGGGGAATCAATGCCGTGTTTGTCCACTTCTTTGCTCATTAAGGAACCTCTATTCACATCAGGGTCAGTACATGACAAAGAAAGCTCACAAGTGCACATTTTCAGTCCAAGGAGGGTGGTTATTCTCCTCCTCAAAGCCCTCCCCTCATCGAAATTCGCCTCACAGAAACGCAGTGCCAGAGGCCAAAGTCTTGACAGGGGTAGCCCAGTGAGGGGGAAATCAAACGAGTCCCTTTTTGACGGCCTGACTGGCCGACAGCAAGGCCCACTTACCTACAAGTCCTTAATCTGTATCACACCTTTGCAGTTCTGGAAGAAAGCAAACCGGCCTTACTGTCCATTCATCATCTTTAGTGATTCAGGGTTTGTCTCTAGCCTGTTGGATCTGAGTCCTCAGTTACTCATAAATACTGATAACACCTGAACTGCACAGATTGAAATCCTTTCAGGCTTTTCAGTGGACTTGTCACATTCATCTTAGTGTATAGTTAATACTGAACAGAAAAAAAGATTATGATTAATATTGATACAGTGGAATGAATATGGAGTCATATGTGGATATACTATACTATACTATACTAATGTAAACTCAGCCCATTGAAAGGCCTATTTTATACATTTCTCAAAAGAGACCTGTTTGTGAGTGCAGTTGAAGCATCTGTGCTTTTCTGTTTTATCAATGTAATGAAAACAAGGTTGTCTTCATAAACCTACCAGAAGTAGACAAGGAAAAAATATCTAATTTGGTGGTAATGGACCAGAGCATTTGGACCATTTTCTGTTACAGATGAAGGTCTGGTCCTGGGAATAAGGAAAAGGGGTTTTGTTGGCCTGCCCTCTTTTTCAGATTATTCTCCACTGTGGAATTCTGTAACTACTGACTGTTTAAAATGATTTGTTTCTGCACAGTTACAACAATTAATCTTTTCTCATATTAGTCTTTAACATCCATCAGAATTTGCTAACTGGGTGAATTAATTTCTTGTCTTTCCACAAATATAAGTGTGTTGATACAAGGAAGAATTAGCTCAACTGACAACTCTATAATGCCAAAGAGGCATACATGTAATTATTTATGTTCTATGATTATTAATTATTAACTATTTAGTAGTCTGCTCATAACAAGCTTTGATTCCTCAAGATCACACAATGACTTTGCAGGAAAACCGCTGCACTGTTGCTTTCACGCACAACAATATTGTAGCCTAAATCGAAGGTTGTGGACTAATGACTTTTTATTGTCTCATTAAATTAAGAAATTTGTAATCTTCATATTTTTATGATCACAGTAAAGAAAAATCTACATAATTTCCTGCATGTCCTATGTGGCCTTTTGTAGATTCTCTTTGAAATCTTAGTCTGTTGCTATATATTGACTTCTTTTATGCAATAATAACATGCTTAGACTCAAGTGACTTGTTAAGGAGAGAATTTTTTTACAGTGCATTTCAGACCTATTCTGTTATTTCCATTGGGCGGCAGTGCATCTATCCTCAAACTGAAGCTGCACTGCATTGCCTGTCGGCCCATGTGCTCCATTCAGGACTATATAAGCCACTAAAAATAATTCCCACATTGCGAATTTATCTCTGGAAACAGGTGCATAATGAGGATGAGTTTCCTCAAGGGCGCCTGTCGGGAAGGTTTCAGCCAGTGCGCCATGCAGAGGATGAAGACTCCAGAGGAACGCAGGTCTGATTGGGAGCGTTCATAGTGGTGGCACCGTCAGGTCTGATAGAATAAGGAAACAACGCCTCCGGTGTATTCTTCAAAATAAAAGCCGTACGGGAAAATGCATGTTTGTGTTGAGAACAGCCCCGAATACTAAAGAGTAACCAAGGAATGTGTTAAAATGGAACCTTTTGAGGAATGAACAGACTCGCCAAGAAAGATAGCCTTTTCAAATTAAGTCTTATGATGAACATCTAAACGGCTGATGTTGCGTACTCCCTACTCGTGTGTGCTTTTATTTTGATGGCAAATACCCTCATGTCATGTGCTATCATGGTGAACTTATGCTAACTTGACGCTTCTCGTTGACACAGCGGCACTCTGAGGGAGGGAGAGAGAGAGAGAGAGAGAGCATCCGATGTGTCTTTTTCTGCACATCACTTTGGAAATTTGCGCTCGTGTAGTCCTGCTTAAAGCGGTGCTCACCTGCCGGGGCTGTGTGGTTGTGAGCGGCTGAGCAACTGATTTAATAGGATAATCAGACTAATTGCTTCCTCTGATATTGCCCTCCATTGATTGTGTCGACCGTTCCCCTAATCACTGACATGATTTTCTGCATTTTCGTCTCTCCTGCTGTTTGAAAGTGACCGGCTGCAGGTGTTTTTTTGTGATCTGATTTGTGCCAGTCAAGGCTGGCAATATGTAATTTTGGGATAGACACTGCGTTTTTGGAGAAGTGGACTATCTCACAACTGGGATTCCTTGTTTTTAAAACGTTACTGCTTTACTCTGTAGACCAAAACAGATTCTGATACACCGTGATGGTGTGGGGCTATCAGAACTGACAGCAGAGTGTACGCTATCATTGGGAAACTGCTTGAGGGTAAGTTCAATTTATTTTTTCATCTTAAGGTTCCCAAAGTTGCTCAGATGCATATGCTGCCTTGTGTGGACATGTTTAAACCAGTTTGTCGATTAATTTGGATGACACGGACATTGCATATATTCACAGATTTGCATCGCCTGCTTATCAACCGGCTTTAACAAACGGATTCATGATCTCCTTATATGCGGCACTTAAATGCGCATTTGGAGCGAGCATGTTTTTCCCTCAGTTACGCATGAATCCCAGACGCTCTTTTTGCTTTAGTTGCGGACGGAGCCTCCTCAGTGGAGCAGTTCACGGCTGCAGTACGACAGTGGAAGTGGACTGCTGAAGTATTCTTCAGTAAAACCTAATTATCCACGCAGGGCAGTTAGAGTGTCAGTGGTCACGAGCTGTAAATTTTACGCCTTATTTTTTTTCTCGGCGTTAATTGTATAACACTGTGCGCATTTGCATTTCGCCCTGGTGCGTCAGCAGTATGTGTGTTTGTGAAATGTGTATGTTTGTGTATGTGCCCCTGTAGGAGCGCGCGCTTGCGTGCGTGTGTCCGTGGGTGTTTTGCGAATTTGTGCACATGTGCGCATCGCTTTCTACGCGCACACCCAAAGTGCGCGCGTGTGTGTGTCACAGGAGGGAGGCCAGAAGAACCCGGGCTTAGTTATTTCAAATTATTTCTGCTGAGTGATTGCTTGGCGAGTCAGCTCTCTCTGTGCCGCTCCTATTTGCTAGTATTTCCTCTCCTCTCCCCTGTTTCTCTCCCCTGCTTGGATGGATGATGGCTTATGATTGTCCAGATGGATGCTGGAGCTCCACTCTGGCTCTGACCAGACTGGGCTTTGCCACTTAGACATATTTGGGAATCAGGAAGTGATACTGATGTAAAGTTGGAGCAGATGCTGGCTTATCAAAAATAAAGCAGTCCCCCTACCCTCTTCTCCTACTATAGATCAGAGTTACAGGAGGTACTGTAGCGTTGTAAGTTGCATCTCATCATCTTATCAAACAACAACTGATGAAGAGATGCTACTTTTGTTATGCAATTTTTAAAATCTTTTACAAACCCTCCTCTAAGCCAGAAGCTTACAGGCAGTGTATGCTTCACACTCAACCATCAACTCATTAATCGCATATGATTTCATAATTTTGTTAACAGTAACATTTACTCACCATTTCAACTGCTCCAAAATCGACTTGCATCATGGTCTGCACTAAATCTTTGCACTCCAGTTTTTTGACACATTGTGCTTTAGGTGATTTCTTCTCGGTTTATGATGTTACTATAATACTATCTTTATTCATCTCCAACATCTGGGGTTAAGCTTTGCCACAGGAGCAACACAGCACATGAATTAATAGGTAAGTGGCAGTGGCCACTTAACGGAAGCCCTGCAGCTACATATTGAGCTGAGTCGAGTGCTCTCACACAGAAATTGATTTAGACAGAGATTATGTCATCCAGCATTGGCACATTTTTTATGCTGGTCAAGTTTACCCAGCGGCATTGAATTCCTCCTCTGCTCTCTGATGAATTAAGTGTAGCTTTAAAGAGAGCATGTTAATGCACCAATGAAGTTGTTGTTTCACTGGCGGGTTTATTTCAAGTATCATTTTCAATACTTCATCAGGGTTAAAAAGCATTTTAACACTGACAGCACATTTGAATGCGTCAATTTATTAGAAAACTCAGTGCTTGAATTTCCACACAAGTTTCCACAGTTTTACAACAGTGTCATGGAGTTGCTATTACGTATTCAGTACAATGAAGTGCTTGTTAATTGTGGTGTTACAATATCGTGATGTTTCATGATTGTCAGCCATACAAAATGATCAGCTTTCACTTTATCCTCTAATAACTGACATTTAATCTTATTTTCCTGTTTCACTAAAATAAACCATGGCAAACATTTGACTCTGTTCAGCTTGCAATGCTTTTTCTGGTAGACAGAAGGATCTGAAGACATCACAAGCTTTTCCCTTTCCTCTCTTGATTGATACTTTTAATTTTCAAGGAGCTGTCACCGAGGCCTATTGGCCTTGGCTTTGCAATCAAGGGGCGGACCGTCAAAGGCTTTCAAATGAAAGAGTTCATTAATGTGGTGGAAATAAGAGTTGTCTCGCTGTGGAGTATTGGCTCTCTGTGAGGAATGATTGGAGCAATTGATGAGGATTTGTGAGGAAGAATGTTGGAGAGGAAGTTGAGAGGGGGCCATCTCAATCATAGCTCTTAAATCACATTAGTAAGACTCAAGGGGAAATGGAAATAGTGAGAGGTGATCAAACTTGTGTGTTGACGTATGTGTGTGGCCATGTGTATGTGTGCAAATATCATAAATGTTGTGCTTCAGCTTGAGCACCTTCCTTTCCTGGGTGGCACTGCTGCGCCGACTTATTGACTGTTGTGAAATCTGAGTATTAGAAGCTGTGGACTACATGCTTAACAGATGCGCTCTCAGTTAAGTCTTTTGAAAATCCAATTCCCTTGAAGATGAGATTGCTCTTTCCACATGCCTTGTTCTATTTTCCATCACAATCATTCGGCATTGATCTGATCTTATTTTTGTTGCAGCCATCATGTCTTGAATTGACAAGTAAGGTAGATCCAGTAGATTACAATATGTCTGGGCATGCCACCTTGCCTGTACAAAGCAGAATCAGGTCTACAATGCAGGGTTGAATATCAAAATTTCGATCTCTCCATGCATTTTTAGACTTCACTCAAATAATATTTTCAGTTATTTTCCATTCATTGTTGTAGCTCAGTTTAAGTGCCACATTACAGTAGGAAACCTTCCTTTTTGTCTTGTGAACCCTTTAAAAAGTAGCAGTGTCTTATTGTGATTCCCATCACAGGTCGCAGGTTGCTGCAACCGAATAGCCGTTTCTTATCTCCTCAGTGTGTTACGTTTAAAGAATTTTGCAGAGGCCTGAAGTAGTAAAATTGTGTAGTATTTTACAAAAAGAAAAAAAATTTGTAACAGGAATATATTACTTCTTTTTTCTCACCACGCTAATTATCTGGAGATCCTGCAGATTTATCTTGTGACCTCTTGGTGCTCCTTACCTCACTTGGAACCAATGTTTTAAATAATAAAGCTAGTGTGTGGACAAATATGGAGACATTCTAAATTATTAGAACGAGAATTGCGGTAGAGTGATTTTTTTGGGGACTTTATAAATGAATCCAGGCAAAATATATCTGTTATATGCTTTGTTTTTATGTTAGTAATTTGACAGAAATATAATCAACCATTTTGAGAATGTAGCATGAAGTGAAATCATCTTGGGTTTTCAGAACTTGCAATGAGCTTGTGTTACATTTTTGGACTTTTCTTACCCTAAAAAGTGATGAATTGATTAATCGCATTTTTTGTGATCATGTCCCCTGTCACCAGTGCCGTTGTAGGATGGACGTTATGACGATATATACAGTGAGACGATATAAATCTGTCAGCCGCAAGATATTTTGCCAGACTGTTTCGACCGCGGTAGCTCTCCCTACGGGCGTATGAGACCATTGTAGCTAATGTTGCAGGACTGTTTTATGGCATTGTTGGATTTTTGCATCAGTGTGTGGCAGCTTACTTTGATTTATGACATTTAACTTTCCCAATTCGCCAAAAAATAGGATCACCATCATCAGGATCTGATTCATTTTATCCATAAACCATTATTTAAATCTTCCAGAAAATGTATCATGTCACAATTGTATATATTGCTATTGGATATAGCATGACATATAGTATGTCTTGAAAGTTTATCCATATTGCCTATACCTAAATTATAGCATCTATAAGCTATATTTTCTGATCTAAAGCCAAAATTTTTTATATCCTACCTGGTGGGTTCCAGCAAGGTTTCACCCAATCAAGTACAGAGCGGTCCATAACAGATCTCATTATATTCAACTCTATAACCATAATGTATGTTCTGTCAGGTCACATCAACAAAGAAGCACGGGTTGTCCTCTATTCTCTTTCCTGCAGAGGTTGGAAACTCAACCCTCGTGGCCCTTTCAGAACACATTTGAACCACGATTGCTCATTGATGGGAAACCAGACTGTATGGAGAAATAAATTCACTGTGTGGCCCTTGAGCTCTCAGTGCGTTTTCATGGTATTATTCAGCAGCGAGGTATCAGAAAGAATGCTCCTCCTTGCAAATTATTTTCATGGGCCACTTAGTTTTTAGAACTTGACCTGAATGTCTTCATGTATGAATGTGAACTGAGCTGAGTGTCTGCTGCTGCTATACTCTCTGCTTGTAGTAGCATTTTAATCTCAACAGCGCTACACTTAATGCCACATAAAAAAGGATGGTGATGGCATAATTTCCAACTGTCTATTTACATTGCTTTTGAAAAACAGATGCAAGCCATTCTGTGATTGCTTGTGTCTCAAAGCATAAAGTTGACCATAATCAAATCCAATTTAAAAACATTTATTTTCACATTTGTTACAGCAGAAAATAAAAAGACTCAGGGTCAGCCACAGAGTAGCTTGCCCTGGAGCTTAAATGTTGTGCTGGTCAATTGTAACACAGCTAAAATGAAGAGAGAGGTGATGAAATACTCATGTTGCACTTCCTCTGATGAAACAGCCATCTGAGGCATGATCAATTACCTCAATATACAGTATTTTTCTTTGCTCTGGGCAAGTGACGTATAAAATGAATGTTTTTCCTCCCCGTTTTAATCAGCAGTAGAATGAGAAGCCCATTGCTATAAGCAAGGGACGGAATTATCATTTTCATCCTTTCTTTTCAGCCCACTGTCATCGTGCCATGTCTGGAGGTGATCCTCTGAGGCCCATCCAGCCTAGAAAGATGAAGTTGATGTGTTTTAGATAGCTTTTGGAGAGATGTGGATAGAGGATGGAAATTGCATGCCAGGGGAAGCAAAATGAGCAATTTTTCCTCCCATTTCCCCTCCTCTCTTCAGCGGATCTGTGCTTACTCATTCATGAAGGCTTTGTTGTGACATTCCATACATTGGTGAGGAG